CATCATCATCACCACCACCACCACCACCACCACCACCACCACCACCACCACCACCATCATCACTACCACCACCTCCGCTATCTCTTTCATTTCCTCCAAAAGCGCACACCTCGAAATCAGAATCTTCAATACCACCCCCACCTTCTCCGCTTCATCCTTCAGTTTCCTTGCAATCTCAAATGCCATTGATACAACCGACGACTCCTAACAGTAGCAGAAGCAGGACACCCACAAGAAAGTGTTCCACGCCATTGTGCAACAGGCCTAAGATCACCGTCGAGGACTTACTGAAAGTCACCTTGAAAAAGGCTCCACAAAGTATCAAAGTACTATAAATTCTACAAATTAGTAAAATTGCATCCCTCACGATAAAATCGTGAATATAAACTTTTAAGAATACCTATGTGTGATTGTTTTAGATCTCAAGATTTTTATTCTTTTAATTTATGAATGCAAATCATACAAGAATTAATCTGAAGTTTGATTGGGATAGATTCATAAAAAATCGAATCATATCAGAAAGTTGTAATTCTCTAACAGCCTTCCCTTTTAAGGGGATGTGTAATCCCAGACTGTTTAGAAATTAAAAATTAGAAATATTTTTTATATTTACATTTAATTATGGTATAATTAACAAAATTATAATTAAACAAAATTCGTTTTTTAAATTTTATTTCTGTCCTTGTTGAATAAAAAATTAATATGCTGGCGTACATATATGCGAAAAATTAAAAGTTCTTTTTAATATAATTCAACGTTCATTCATACTTAATGACGGAGTATAAAAAATAAAAAATTGTTCTATTCCATATATTTTAGGAAAACAGACGAAACACTGTACCAGGCCCAAGAGGTCCGATCGTGTCCTTGGAAATGTTGCGTAATGTAAAGCTGAAATCCGCGAAGCGTAGACCTAACGATCAAACTGGAAGATCGCCCAGAAACGGTCGAGTCGTTAAAAACCGTATCGCATCAAATGTCAATCTCTCGCCGATTTTGACTGGTTCGGAAGGCAATTTGGAGCGAATCCTGCGGCGAGTAGATCTAAACAGACCGAGGAGACTCTTATCCAGCTCAAGCAGCTTCCGCGAACGCGATATCACAAGGGAGACGCAGTGTCAGTCGTTGGAAACATTGGCGTACAGCCAATCACAATCCATGCTTAAATGACCACAGTATTATATGAATTGTGACATCAGAAACAAGAAATTTATAAATTATAGAATTGTTAAAGAAAACTTGCGATATACATTGAAATAATTTATTTGCTTGCATATCATAAACGTATCAGATCTAAGAACTTTTATAAAGATTTGGAGAGAGAGAAAGAGAATTTAAAAAAGAACTCTATCAATTTGTATTATTAAATATACGTATACTACATAAGTGGGAAAAATTAAGAAAAAATTAATTTGTTATGATATGTAACGCAAGAAATTAAATTCTCGTTTCTAATGTCATGAGCTGCGTTCCATTGCACGCATAATGCGCATGATGTATTATTTTATCCTTGTTTAATACTCTGTGAACAAGGATAAAACGATATCTCATGCGTATTATACGTAACGGGACGTAGTCGTAAGATAATGACTGCAATGAAAGACCAAAAGTCTAAAATTTAAATCATATAATACAGACGTATGACATATTCGTCGTATAAAATTAAAATATCTAATTTTTATATATATATTCAAATATTTAATATTAAATTAATATTTAACACAAGAGCTCAAAGCTCTTTGTTGCGAAATTTTTCTTCAATTAGCTGGTCGAAAATTTAAATCGATCTCTTAATAAAACTGTGACCAAGGCATAGATTTATAATTACTTTATTTGTAGCTTTCATGTGTGTAGTTTTACAGAAAAAAAGATTGTATCCGGTGTATTCGCATCGACTGTAATACAGAGCGTAAGAACGCATGCGGATCCAAGAATGTAAAATCAACAATTCCTCCGAACGATGATGAAAAAAGCATTGCTTCGCACTATTAATTGTTAATAGCAATTAATTCTTATCGAAATCAACGAAATGGAATAAATTTAGAGGTGGTTTGAAATTTAGATAGTTTTCGAAATAATCCAGATTCTCCGATTTATATTGTACAGATGTATAATCGGATATTGCCCCAAAGGGCTAATATAATTCATCGGCGTTCAGAGATCGCTACCACCATTCGTTGCCACGTGACGCGTTACTTTTTTTTTGCTTTTATGTAGCTAAATTCCTTAAAACACTTTGTCGCACAGATACATGCTATGTACTTGAGAAATATATTTATATATTTATATATATGCGCTTGCGTTTTACAGCCTACGACGGCATCCGCCTCGCTCCGCAGTTCTTAATTTAGAGCTCTGTTTACCTTGCACACAGTTTTCGCGCGATTTAATCTTCTCGATTATAATCGACTCGATCATGTCATATACTCGAGTTAATGCTACCCGAGTTCCTCGGATGACCCATCCCCCCCCCTGCGTCGAGATTATTTCTTCGTTTCTTTTTCTTCTTCTCTTTAGCCTACTTATTACGCGCGTTCTTACAATTATATTCGCAAATATACTTACTTACTTTACGAGAGCCGGTTGATATTATTTATATTTTGAATTATTTCTCATAACGTGTGTCATTTGTAACATTATCAATTTTATCGTTACGATACCTAAATACAGGGGAACGATGGACACCAATTATTTTCTGCTTTTTCGTCTTCCTCGCGGAGGTTGCGATTAGATCCGCGTTTTTCTCGCCGAATTATGCTTTTCTTGCTGTTGCCTTGCGAACGCCTCGCTTCTCTGCTGCGCTTAAACTCGGCGTCTCGTCTCCTCTCCGTCACGTTATCAGCGAGAAAACTGAGTGAGCTTAAATGGATTTTGGTAGTTCTAGCTATATAATAAGTAGATAAGTTTAATGCGTAAAATGGTCAGTAACTAGCTAAGCTTACCTCATCGATCTGAAGAAAGGATACTTTTCACTGTAAATCTCTACGATCCCGACAAACTCCTCATTACAAGGACAATAATGGAATGTTTCAACGTAAAAATCGATGGAATGGCTCGTCGATGAATCGACGAATGGACAATTACAAATACTGATTCCGACTATCGTCCATCCGGAAGGGAAAGACGAGGATAGAGAAATATGAATATATTTATAATATATATAGAGCGTAAATTGCGTGTGTAAATGTGCGGGTGGAAAAAGTCGGGGTACAGTCATTTATTCTGTTCTTATACCACAGCAATCGATATTTAGTTTACACAACGGGCGTATGAAAACGTACAACCACATTACAGACTAGCTAGATAGTTACTTTGTTTGCTGTGAGTAACGTAACGCGCTAAAAAGGCTCACCTACGATAACGTAATCTTTTTCATCTTCCCCCCTTCTTTCGTTTCTTTTTTTTCACTTTTTTTTTATCACGACGCTGCTCATCGAGCTGACGCGATGGGGACGCACTCGCCTCGGAAGAGATGCGTAAAAGAACCGAAAATCGAGAGATCGCCGTCAGAGAATTTCGATGATACGCTTTACCGCTTCTCGCTCATGTTACAGAGCTCCTTCGCGACGCGGTCACCATTCGAAAGCTCACAAAATCAGGCGTTATTGCATTTGACGAGGTACAGAGGGTGGGAGAGGGGGAGAAGGGGGCAATCGAAGTAAGCACATTCTCTTCTCAGCTCGGCTATGCCAAGAATCCATGCATTTAAAAATTTTTCTTTTCGGCTATCTATAACATTACAATTGTGTCGAATCTTGTTGGAAGTACATATCTTTTACAGGATACAAGAGGTTTGTTCGCGTCGCATACTCCAACATGTTCCAATACGCTCCTATCACAGCTCCTACTCACTCCAACGCGCTTGGTAGAATGAGAAGGAGCTATGGTAGGAGCATGTTGGAGCATGTTGGAGCTTACGACGCGAACAAACCTAAGCTCGAGAGCGAGATCCGTCTTGACAACTGGCAATGAGGGCGCCGCCGTTATTTCCGTAAAGAAAGAGAGAGAGAGAGAGAGAGAGAGAGAAAGAGAGAGACGTGCAAATTGTCCTCGAAATAAATCGATTTACACGCTAATAAACACCGTAATAATTACAGTACGCGTGGAATAAAATATCGTGCGCATAATAAAAAAAAAAAAGCGAGGAACGAAAAGGAGGAGATTGGAAGAGGAGAACTCCAGGTGATGGAGATGTTAGAACGGACAGTTATGTAAATATATCCCGATATGACGTGCAATCCATACGCCTTTTTGTTCCTCTTTCACTATTGTAAAACATAGGACACATAATTCATTCTCATTCATTGTAACGGAAATCAAATCTGAATTGCCGAGATTAAACCGATCGGCGCCGGCATCGACATCGGCTCGACGTTCTCGACATCGTTTGCACATTTATCGGACGCATACGAAGTGCAAATACGACGTTTTCTCTCGATACGCAAAAACGGGGCAACAGAAAAGTGCCTTTCTCCTAAATGCTTTGCAGTCTCTCTATTTACCGCAGGGTGCGTGCCCTTTTGTCTCGTTACTTTCTGCATGTTCTGTAACTCAATTGTATATACGTGTACGTAATATAATGCCGAATGAACTGAATGATTTATTTATTATTAATTAATGTTGCTGTTGTATTTTGTTGTCACTGCTGCTGCTGCTGCTGCTTTGTTTTGAAGTAACCATACAGTGCGTGCTTTTTTTTTAAAGGGTCACGCAAATTTCTAAAGATCTCCCCTTCCCACCCCGAACTGCCACCTGCTGAATTGGTTTTTTTTCTTTTGCTTACGAGTTATTTAAGAGTTTTTTCTTGTGTCTCAGTTTTATATGCGCAAGATAACACTCACTACAGCTAGAGTTACGATACGTCCTGGTCTTCCACATCCTGCAGCTGTTCCTTTTGTTCAGCTTCACCTGCGCAACAAAAATACGAAACATATCAGTAAATAATCTAGTTGAATGCGCCTAAACAATACATGTCAAATAAATTATGTTTGATAAGTGAAGCAATTAACAATTTGAAGAGATAATTTTAAATAAATTCAATTTGCGATATTTTTCTCATTTTTTATTCCTTTTAATATAGTGACGATTATATAAGAATTATATCGCTCACCAAGTGCAGACATGCTGGGAGGATGAGGACGACAGGAAAAGGGTATCTATGTTCGGGCAGCGCGGGTACCAACAGTTCGAATAGCTTCGGCACACTCTGAATTACAAGGTAATCATTCTGTGTTCGAAAACCGCACAATTTGCGATTTCTTACAAGTTAAAATAAATAAAAAACAAGCTTACAGCAGAAATATGAATAGAAATATAAGCGAGAGAAAGAGAAAGTTTAGAATATCCCACACCTCGTGATCTTAATATTTTATTGATTTTATCCTTTAACATTTTCATAAATCCGAGATCAATATTTCTTCAGAAAAATATTAAGGGGATCCTAAAGCTGTCTATATAACCGATTAAATGGTAATTTTTATATAATATACTTTTTTTTTCTTTCACAGATTCGAAAATCTTTTTCCAGGATTAAAGTATACACATATGTGTTTGTGAGATGAAATTTATGCCGAGAACGACAAAAAATTTCGAAATTGAAATCTTAAGAAAAATTTTTTATCTCGGCATAAACTCCACCTTACAAACACGTATTAATGTGTATACTTTAATCCTGAAAAAGGATTTTCGAATCTGTGAAAGAGAAAAAAGTATTTGTTATACAAAAATTACGATTTATTCGGTAATACAGACGGTTTTAGGATCCCCTTAAATCATCCATAATTCTCATATCATATATTAAAAAATAATATTAAAAAATTATACAAAATTTTTAATTAATTTATTGAGTAAGTAAGTATGTAGAGCTTAAAATTCAATGCGATAATTCAATGCAATAATACGCAATCTTTTTTAAGAATAATTTTCAGGTCACGTTTAGAAATAGATAAAATCTTTCGGGTTGCATAATGTTCATTTCGTTTGCATAAAAAATAGAAAATATAATTTTATATTTTCAATTACGAGCCGGAAGATCACAAAAAATTCACAGATGAGCCGAGAGTTGCGTATCACCAGTTAATAAATCATCTCGTACGTTAAATTACTAAACGCAAATTTAGAACTCTATTAGGAGCAATGTAAAATGAATCTGAATTTAATATTTGTTTCCCCAATCTTTCGACAATTTCAGATCATTCATTTGCAATTTTTAAACAATAATATTTATCTACTTTATCACAGCAGTAAATTCAGGAGTAAAAAAACCACAATTGGAATTATAAAGTTAAAAAAGTATCTTTTATGTTTCTAGAATTTAATAAAAAATACATTGATTGAAAAAAAAGTTTCTCATCTTCTTTTCTATATTTCTAGTCGTGAGGAAGCAATGTAGCTTCTGAGATCCTAAGTAAATTACGTGAGACGAGAGTGTCCAAGATAAAATCATTCTATCAGAATGCATAGTATTCGTTTGCGTGTCGATCGATCGAGAACAGGCGGGGTACGTCGCACAACGCATTCTAGCGTAATCAAAACATCCCTATGGCAGTTTTGCCTCTGTAAGTAAATGGGACACTAACCGTCTCCCTGCATATCCGACGTCCATAGGGTGAGGTTGTCCCTGAGGAGTTGCATTATGAGGGTAGAATCTTTGTAGCTCTCCTCAGACAGCGTGTCCAGTTCGGCGATCGCATCGTCGAAGGCCGCCTTCGCTAAGCGGCATGCTCTGTCAGGGCTGTTGAGGATCTCGTAATAGAACACGGAGAAGTTGAGCGCTAATCCCAGGCGAATGGGATGGGTCGGCGGTAGTTCCGTCATGGCGATATCGCTCGCTGCTTTGTATGCCACCAGGGAATTCTCCGCCGCTTCCTTTCTGTCGTTACCGATGGCAAATTCTGCCAAGTAACGATGGTAATCACCTTTCCTGAAAGCGTCAATGTGGATTAATGACAATTCGTATCGTACGCTAAAATATGATACAGCTATTCAATAGTTTGTTGTACAATTTTCTTAAAAAAAGAAAATAAATAAATAAAAATAAAAGAAATAATAAGGAATCAAAGTCCTATATTTAGCGCTAAGTAAAAATACAAAGTATGTCAATAACTAATCATATATCGTCTTTGCAAGATACTTTTATTAGGAACCACTACGATGCGATATAAAGAATTGTAGATCGTTATGATGCAATTGTATTTTTCAGCTTATTGGTATAATTTTTAACTAAATAACATATCAAAAAGTGGAAAATTATTTAATAACTATTACTAAAATTGTGTTCATAAATAAAATAGTTAAAACTTTTGTTCCAAAATAACTGATAGATTAATGTCCTACGGACAATTGTGTAAAATATACAAATGGATTCTTACATTTTATAATAGAAGACTTTGGATTCTCCCGTAGAAGCACACGGTATCAAGTGCTTATCCAAGACACCAAGGATATCGGCACAAATATCCCTGAGCTCCTTTTCCACTTGAGATCGATATTGACGAATCATCTCTAGTTTCCCATCGGCACCCTTGTTCTCCTCCTTTTGCTCAATGCTCGAGATTATTCTCCAGGAGGCTCTCCTTGCTCCGATCACATTTTTGTACGCTACCGAAAGAAGGTTCCTTTCTTCTACGGTGAGTTCTAGGTCCAGCGAAGCCACTTTCTTCATCGCCTCAACCATCTCTGCAAACAATACCGGCAACCAATATCGTTGATAAAGTTCATCGACTTATCATATGTAAGATATATATATATATATATATGACGATACTTGATCATTATATGAAAAATTATAATTAGAATAAACGTAAAAGTAAACTATATGTAAGAAAAATTCCATTCCATGGAAAAGTATAATTCCCTATGACAAAAAATAATTTCTTTTTCTGTTAAACAAATATTATTTCTTCAAACAAATATTAAACCTACGTAATAAAAACAATCTTCGGAGTAACGGAAGTCATTTTCTAAGGAGCAAAAATACTGTTTTTATATATAGCATCTTGATTTTTCTGTACATTGACGGTATATAACATTTTTATCTACTCTCGTGACATTTATAATAATCCTTAAATAGCAAAACTGCCGAAGAGATTCTTAGATAATCAAAGTTCCTTATAAGAAAATATAACGTAAAAATATCCTAAGAATACTGAACAAATTTTTGCCATAACAATTTGATCGATGATGAAACCTGACAAAACATAAAATTACATCATTATTTTATATTCTATACGTCTTCCGCATTTCTCTATGTTTATCCTGCAAAGTTCAGGTTCTCAAAGGATTTCTCATAAATCATTGTGAAATGAACTCCGTGCCGCTCGTGAACTTGTTCGCTTAAATGGCGTATGGACGTTTGGCCTATAAAATGTTACGTGCCTATCGCGGATGAAACGATAGCGCGGAGTGCCTTTGGAGTAAAGGGGATGAACGCGTCGGTATATATTAATCCGCTGCCCCTTGAACTTTGCACGGAAGTCACTAATACGTATATCGGCACATATTCGAGCGATATTCACTCAGAAGCGCTGCCATTTTTGGCCTCCAGATGTTTTTACAAAGTACTCTCTCGTGTTTGCTAGCAGAGCCTGCCTGTCTGCCTGCCTGGTTTAACCGACGTATTTTTTAGCTTCATTAAGTGGATATCTAAAAACTCAAACCAACAAATTGTGACAAAAGAGAAGGAAGTTAATTAGTGAATTAAAGCAAAGAGTACGAGAAAATGTCAAGTGTAACAACAAAATTATACAAGCATCATTAAAAGCAAAATAAGATGCAAGCTTCGTAACTCGATTTGAAGCTGCAAATTTGTTACAGCAGAACTTGATCCCACACATCCCTTGCGACATCAGAACTTGAGTTAATCTCATAAACATCAGAGATAAATTACAAATGCAAATGTTGACGCTCCGCAACGCTCACAACTGCGGCGATTAAACGTTCGCCTTCTCCGTAGCTTGAAAGATCGGAAGATGTCCTCAACTTGAAGCTGATGTCTCCATTCAAAGTACGAGCCTGAATTCAAGAAACTTTCCATCCTCGAGTTGCCTACTGTGCGCTCGCTTGTACTTTGTGCGCTTAAAATGGCACAAGTGGTACGTCGCCACTCTCCCAAATGGGTGGCGAGAGGAGAGGAGGTGGTAGAAAGGGGAGATGCAAGAGACTGGACTCCGGAAACCTGGAGACCTGGAGATAATAACAGCATAATAACGGCAAAGGGAGAAAAGAAAAGACGTAGATTGATGCGTGGATCAACGCGTCGTGTCGCACGCATCGACGTTACCGATCAAGTGGTACCGTCAAGTTCACAAGGGGTGAATGTGACGTAAAGCGGACGTTACAATGAACACGGCGTACATATACCAGTGTGCAGCAACGTAGGATAGCAGCCAGATCAATACTTTCCTTCTGCTAACCACCCCTTTCCCCCATTCTGTCCTCTTCCTCCTCCTCCTCTTCTTCTCTTCTTGCCACCTTCTCACCCCTTTGCTCACCCTTTCCCATTCCCCACCCAACCTACTCTTCTCTCTGTCTGTTCTTTCTTTCTTCAGCTACCCTCAAATTCCAATCGTCATTCCTCGCTCTCCGACATGTCCTAGGAAAGTCATACCGTTATGTCGTCTCCACTCAGGCTCTACCTTAGGGACCGATCATGCCAATGTCGTACCGGGTTACTTAACGTCGAGCCTGAATTTTCGAAACTATCCCGTATATCACGCATAATCAAGATAATCTAGAAAGGGATTACAAACAGTCAATCTATCAATCAACAGTCATTAATTGATAATTGATGGATGTTAATTATCCTTAATATGTTTCTACCCTTTTCGTAGAGGGACATAAGAGGCCTGTCCTTTTTTCATATCCCAGGACTGAACTTTTTGCACAGTTCATCTTTATCTTTTTCTATTCAATTCAATGTGAAAAGAAAAAGAAGATGAACCGTGCAAGAAGTTCAGTTCTGGAATATGGAAAAGGAACAGGCCTCAGGTCTGTCCGCTGCACTGCACTTGCTTGCACTTTTTTGTACTCAGTAAGCCCGTCCTTTTACCACACCCTAGGACTAAATTTCTTGCATAGTTCATATTTTGCCTTTTTCTCTCCAATGTGAAGAGAAAAAGGAGAAAGATAAACCGTGTAAGAAGTTGAGGCCTGGAAAAAGAACGGGTCTACTAATATCTTCATTTTCTTTTTCTACAACGTCCAAATATATATTCATCTCATTTTAAGTGCAAAAATTTTTCGGAATTTCAAGCAACACCAACAGAATAGACTAATAGAATTTATTTTATTTCATACCCGTTTCTATTAATGTGGATTAATTTTAATCTCGATTCAATTATATAAATCTTCATCTTTTCTAATTCTAAAAAGATGAAAAGTTGAACTGAGATTAAAGTTAATCTACATTGATAGAAAAGGGTATTAGAGATCCACGTCACGATAGAACTGATATAGCTTAAGAAATATGAAAATACGCACGTTTGATTATAATTTTTCACAGAATTTTTCCATAATGCAAGAAGGAAAGGAAACAACACTGGGAAGCATCAGATACGAAATTTGAAGAGAGAATTTCTCTCAGAGGAGTGAATCGATTTCCATTCATCGAACTTCAAGTAATTACGCTTGGCATCGAAATTCCAATATTTCATTTTCAAAGAGTAAGTATTCTAAGAGAATGACACGACTTTTAAAAGTGGCGGAAACTAGAATATAACAACCGCGTTTAAACCGACTTGACTTTCGGTCGATTAAAAGTGGTTTCGTGCTGGAAACAGAATTTGCTAATTGGAGAAATTCTGAAAGAAAAAAAAAAAAGATTCGCCAATTAGAACAGCACCACGAAAGAAACAAAGATTCGTTAATCAGTGGCACGAGAGTTCGTGCGCGAGATCTCTTGATCTCGTTATATCGGGTGACGTACGAAGAAAAAAAACAATCTAGCCTTAAATCATCGAGTTAAAAGAAATGAGATTTTAAAAGAATAAGGAAAGGAATACGGTCGCCACATCTCTGCCACATCATTACATTGCTTTTTGTCTTTCACTGCCCATTTTCCTTATTACTATTGCACGAGAGATTCGCAACAGTATCTCTTTTTTTCTTATCACTGATGAGATTATCATTAAGACAAAGCTACTTTGCATGTTACTCAGTTCTGTGCGTTCCGACGAATGCATCTCCCTCTCTTCTGAGGTACTCTTCTGACGCGCATAAATCGCTCAAGGAACGAACACATTTTTTTTCTTTCGCATCGAAAGGAGAGGGAAAGAAAGAGAAGAGAGGGAAATCGCTAAAGCACAGATAAAAGTATATTGAGAAAAATACCGAGCCTGGCTGAAAATAGATGAAAAGATTGTAGGTCTGTTCGCGTTACTTGCACTTTTTTACACTCAGCATCTTCGCTTTCTCTCCCTTCAACGTCCGAATAAAATCTCATTTTAAGTGCAAAAATTTTGGGGAATTTCAAGCAACGTGAACAGACGTGTATATCATAATCAATCAAAATTCCAGTTATCTCAACTAGAAAAAAAAATTCTAATTAAGATAAGCGGAATTTTGATCTACTAGAAAGTAGATTTAACTAAACAATTGTGATTCATCCATTTCCAATTAATCGAACATGGATCTATTCGTATTGCTTGAAATCCCCAAAAATGTTTGCACTTAAAAGAAGATAAATATATATTCGGAAGTTGAAGAGAAAGAAAACGAAGATGCTAAGTGCAAAAAGTTATACAAGCAACGCGAACAGATTTCGCATCGATTAAAATTCCGTCTATTTCAACTAGAATTATAGTAGATTTAACCAGAATTCCAATTAATCCAAGGAGACATTAGGTCTGTTCGTATTGCTTAAATTCCCCAAAAACTTTTGCACTTAGAAGATAAATATACTATATATATATATATATATACACATATATATACATTCGGGCATAGAAGAGAGAGAAAGTGCAAGTAACACTTACAGGGTGTCTATTCTTTATTTTCAAGTAAAAATAAGTCTGTTCGCGTTGCTTGAAATTCTCAAAAATTTTTACACTTAAAACGAGATAAATATATAATCGGGCATCGAAGCGAGAGAAAGCAACGAAGATGCTCTGATTGCGAGTGGAAAAAATACAAGCAACGCGAACAAATGTAATTACAAAATTTAATAGATGTTGACCAATGAAATTATAAATATTCTAGTAGTAAGGTAAATTCGTTCACTTATGAAATTTTCACTTCGTTTCAAGATAATATACAGAATCAATCTCCAGATAGATAGATATTTTTCTCAGGGTACAGCCGACTGGGTAAGGTATCTTCGAAGACGATACGAAGCGCGCGCATACCGAGACGTATGGCGCAGGGATGGAAAAATTTGACCATCTCTTCCCTCCCACGCCTCTCGTCGCTATACTTGTCGCCGCTCCGCTCCATGGCCTTCCGATACCTGATACAGTCTCTCATTCGTCTGTATTCGTCCCTCTCAACCTCTCTGTACCGCGCTTTTTCTTCGCAGCTCGTCCCGCCTCCCGCGGGCGCACGCCACGCGTTGCCATCGCCCGGAATGAGATGATGAAATTCCCAATTCGTGAATTGGGAGTAAGTACGTATTTTTATTACCGAGAGATAGCGATAGGAATGACAAGCGATGCGCGCATCGAATGAACGCGATCGATACGAGCGCTCCAAATCGCCCGCGCCGGCCGGTGCGGTCTGTGCCGACGCTCGATAATCACGCACGTTCGCGAGGTCGCGTCGATATCGAGAACGAGTCCGCGCGAGGAGATCGATGGAATCGTCATCGCCGAGGCGCTTGGCGAAAGCCGCCAAGTCAGCTACCGGTGACTAGGTGATTCTTGGTGTCACCTGTTAATTCCGACGAGTCGAAAGCTGAAGGAAACGCACGCCCGCCGATTCTGTTAATTCCCGTATAGGAATCGCTTCGCGTTACGCTCACGTTACCTGGACCTGTTAACTCAATACGGAAAGAGAGAGAGAGAGAGAGAGAGAGAGAGAGAGAATGGAGGGGAGGGAAGACGTGCGTGCGAAAAGATCGAACGGATCGAGTCGGCAAAAGCGACATCCGGCCCGGCCGCAGCGCGGCGCGTACGAGATCCGTGAGGTCCATTTTACCTGATGGCTTCGTCATTCGCGTTTAAAGCGGACCCTACGGTTCGCGTGGACTCGTCTCGCTTTCTCCTCGCTTTTCGCGCGGAGAAAGGAGCCGAAATGTTGCAGAAAACTAACTAAAGCGGACCGTGCAGATTGTGGAATCCACGCGGATGACGGTTCTCGCTTCTCGGTCGAGAAGAGATCTGAAAAAGAGAACCAACATCGGTTGTTCTCACTTTGACTGGGTTTCAGGAAATTTATCAGGATGCATCCATATATTATTTTATTCTTTTTCTTCGCGGAACGTTGAACAAAGATGAAACGTATGATGGGCTTGATATGGAATCGTGTCTAATTCCACCATGAATGAAATAATATTGAACGTAGCTCCTTTTCTCGGTCGATCGAGATTCGAATCTCCAATCGGTGATTTCTTCGCGCGCGCTCAAGGCCAGATGCCACGAGCGGAACACGCGACTTACTGCGTGTATCCGTGGTAATGGTATAATAACCCGGCGCGGCGGCGGCGGTGGCGGTGGCGATTAGTAAGGCGCCTCGACGTGTCTATACGTCACCAACACTCACGAGTCTCACGACCGTCCGTCGTCGGTGCTCGAAAGTCGCAAGAGAAACGAACCTGTCTCGCTTCGCTTATCTGCCGAAGAGACACATAGCTCTCTCGGGGTAGGAGGTGCTGAAGAAGAGCGACGAGGCGGAGAACCGGGAGCACGCCTAGCAACGCGTGGCCGCTCGCGCCGCCAGCGGCGCGTCGCCCTCGTTCCCCGATCGGGACTTTCGAAGCACGAAATCCAAAGGAATCGGGGAACGAGAGAACTCCGATCTGTCTGTTCTTTACAGATCGGGGCTTCTTACATGGTTCATCTTTCTTTTCTCTTCGCGTAGAAAGAGAAAAGAGAAAAGAGAGATCCGAATAGATCTGAATGCGAAAAGTTGAGATCTAACGATAGAAAAACGCACGAGATCCTAGACTGCGTATCCGTCGCGCGTCGTCTCGTTCCGTGGCAGGTCCCCCCCGGGGCTACGGCGACTGAACGAACGGACGCGGATGGACGGACGGACGAACGAATGGGCGAATGGGCGAGCGAAGTAGCGAACGGGCGGGCCTCGTCGGATCGACCGTCGCGAATGACACGAGTCGATATCGCGTCCGGCGCCGCCACAAAGGAACGCGCCACCGGCTATAACGAATAACGATCGTAACGATCGTAACGATCGCGCCGTCGATTTTGACAGGTACGATGCGAGAGCGACAGCCCCGGGAATACCATCGGAGTACGATGAAGAATGGGAAAGGTTATTCGACGAGAAAGGGATTCTCCGACGAGTCGCAGGCTAGGACGTCGAGACGGCCGCGACGACGGGACGATGGGCGACCGGGGCTGAACCCCGTTGATACGAAGGGACCCCGGAGGGGAAGGGAGAGCCCGTTGAGACGAACGCGCGAGACGCGAATGGATCGAGCGGGACGTAGAGACGTAGATCGGTTTCGCGTCCACGAACCGGCTAGGTTGTCCCCCTCTGCCCACCCCCCGCACCGGCGGAAAGGAGAAATATCTACTTACCGTCGTAGCGTTCCGCTTGCTCGGCCAGTTTCGCCTTGTAAACGTTGTCCTCCCGTTCCGACATCTCGGATGCACGCGGATCTCACTGGTTAAATGGATAACGAGGGACTCACGCGGGGGAGAGACGCGCGCACGGAATACCCTTTCGGCAAACGACCGCCTGAAATACGCACAACGAAGCCACTCCGCACCACGGAGACGTACAGGCCACTCGCAGGCTCACAGACCAAGATGGCGGCGCCCGCCAACAATCGAAAGCAGTTCCCAGTCTCTCGCGCAGCAGCTCCGCGGATTGACTCCGCTCGCCATGCGCTCGCGCCGTGTATTACTACGCCCGTGACGTCATTGCCTCTCCGCCGCCATCTCGACGGATCTGGATGGATCACGGACCGAGCGCGCAAGCGCAAACGCAACGCATGCCGTACGTACGTGCATACGTACGCCCTGGTACGCACGTACGATTCGCCCTGCGGACGAAAAAAAACATTCTATTTTTCTCCTTGTTTCTCCCGCTGAAAACCGACCTCGTCGGAAATTCGACAGCTCGCGTACGTGAATCGCGAGATACGTCGTGCCCGCCGTTCATCGCCTGTCGCGCCTCCGCTTTCCGGCTCCCGCTTTCTTTCGTCTTCGTCAAAACGCCGCGGAAACGAGGAACGCACGGAATCAGACGGCGGAAACGTAGGACGCGAACCGGGAAACACCGGCCGGACCTAGAGATCCTCAAAGGAAGAGAGTGGCAAACTGCATCACGCGACCCGTCTCCTCTGATTGGACGCGGGCATCGAAGCTCCATTCGCATGGAAGAGATTGGAGGAAACTGGTCACGTGACCCCCGGCCTGATTGGACGCGGGCGTTCACGTGATGCAATTTTTGTTCGCGTCGCATGCTCCAACATGTTCCAACATGCTCCTACCATAGCTCTTACTCACTCTAACGCGCTTGATAGAATGAGTAGGAGCTATAGTAGAAGCATGTTGGAGCTTGCGACGCGAACAAATCTTTCGAGGCTCTCTACTTCCTAGCCGAACCGGACGACGAAAACTCGACAGTCACGCCACGATTTGCAATACATCTTGTTGGGTTTCACGTCTCCCTTTGGTGCTAAACTGATCGGACATTTTTGAAATTTCTGAAAAATTGCTCAAACGAGCGTTCATTTCTTTCCCATGCACTATATCGTCATATATCATATACGTTAATTGACACAAATATCAAAAATCAATTCTACAACTTATTAAAAAATTTCTGCCGGGAGGAAATATTTTTTTTATCAATCTGCGTGGTAAATAAAAAATTTTGAATCAAAAGGGAACGAAACATAATCAATAAAATATCCTCGCGGACAAACTATGTCCGGTTCCATAAGTTCCACGCAGATCAGCTTTAATATCACTTTAACTTATTTTTCATCTTTTTCTAACGTTCGTTTCTACTAATGTAGATTAATTTTAATCTCGATTCAATTTATTCTTTATTTTTTCTAATTCTTCGAATTTTAGAAAAAGATGAGTTATGCTTATCTCTATCAATGTAGATTAACTTTAATTGCAGTTCAATTTACTCTTTATTTTTTCCTAATTCTTATAGGACTTTAGAAAAAAATGAAACATAAGTTAGTTTTATTCTTTTTTAGAATTGGTGGAAACAAGCATAAAAATTAAAAAAAGATAAATATACGTTGAACCAAAATTAAAGTTAATTTATAATACATTGATAGAAATGGGCATAAGAATTAAAAAAGGATAAAAGGTACTTTAAATCGAGATTAAAGTTGATCTACATTGGTGGGGATGATCTACATTAATCCGTATTAATTCAAATCGCGTTTATAGTTCTTTCATATATAATTGATTCAATATAATTTATTCGACAAAACCAAGAGTCGTTTATTATACAATTACGGCCTTTTACGCGATTAACGATGAGTAGCTATAAAGGAGATGCCACGAAATGAATATCCTTTTGTAGCGAAGCATATTTGTATTTCTCTCTCTCCCCCCACACGAATTGGCTAATGTACAAGTACTATGATTCATTACTCGGTTCTCTCTCTCTTCTTTCTTTCTCTCTCTCAATCACAAAACACACACACACAATCGCGTCGTATCTCGTTAAATTATTTATTTTTATAATTTTGTATTTATATGTATACAGGCGTGTGTATAATATATATATATATATATATAATTTCAATTATTAATTATTAAAATTATAATACAGCCAGAGCACTTAGCGTAATGATCATTATAGACATTGGCTGCAAGCTAGTCGTTCCGTTCGATTTATCGAGATATATACTTGTACAAGGCAGCTTGTATGTACCTGATATCGCGAATGGAACGGCCTATGTGCTTATTAGAGGGATATACAATAAGTTTCACCAATTAATCGCTTTATGTACATACTGGCATACATGCATACAAACAAATACATACATACATACATACACACGCAATCATTCACTATAAATCGGTCGCACGTGCCTATGGGTGCACGCGTGTTTCTATGCTACAGCGATAATTTCGAGAAACAAACGATCGTCACGCTCGGGAACCCGATTTCGATTTTCTTTAATCAGGTGGAGCAGCACTTAGGAGCCCTCGATTCGCGCCTCGTTTTACTTTTGTCGTTCCATTAACGCGTCGCATACCTCTGCGTTGGTAAAGTATTCGGAGCGTATCTAGCGTGCTTGAAATCTGTGCAGACGTGAAATGGCATGGTTTCTTTTTTTTCTATTTCCTTCTCTCTCCTTGTAAAAAACACAACACTGGCTAAACTTGGAAGCATCATCGTCGTCGGTTTTATTTATTATGTGTCTAAAATGTTAATCATTGCGCGCGTGCATTCAAAATCACTGAATAAACCTTTCAATGTATGTAGTTTTACTGTTCCTTGTATTCATACTCTTCTCTATCAACATTTATTTCCACTTCCAACACTTTTCAGACTTTTTTGTTGTAACAGATCGAGTAGAAAGTACGCAGAGAATTATAAAAAAAAAATTAAAACTACTGACACGCATTAAAAAATCAATTGGATTTTTAATACATGGAGATGTATTTTCTTTTCCTCTATAAAAATAATTCATATAGTAAAAATAAATAAGAGAAATCATCATATTTATCTTGTTTTATATTAAATCGAGTGTATCGGCTGTGATTCTAATTCTCGTTGCACATCTTTTTCTGTGTTCATACAAATACTTTCAACGATGGATTATGATAGATTAAAAATAATGAAATATACACAGGATTTTTGTATATATAATAGCATCGATCGCGACTTTGATAAAATTTTAGTTCAAATTTTTTCTAGAAAATTAGATTTATATTTACCTAAACATAAATTGAGAATACTGAATATATTATAAAATAAAACATTAAACTTGATCTGAAATCCTTCCTCTTCAATGACGAAAGTTTTTTATCCTCTCTTCTTACAGTCTTATTGCAATCTTAATTTTAGGCTAATTGAAATATTCGGAATTCATTCGACTTGCCCGAGCTTCGATTTCTTTTTACTACATATAGCTAATATAATAAACGCGAAAATTCAAGATTGGCTACTCATTAATTCAGCACAAAATCTTAAAAAAAAAAAAAGAAAAATAGCACGCAAATGCATATTAATAAAATATCACGTTGAAGGGATTAGATATTAGCTTTCAAAAAAAGAGACAAAAAGAAAGACAGGGAAGAAAAGGGGGAAGGAAAGGGAGAGAGGTAGAAAAGAACAGCGATGACATGCAAGTACAAATTGCATATTATACATGTCAGAATTGCCAACAAGTTTCGTCCACTTCATTGGAAGAATTAATTGCTAAACCATATCCCGTAACAACCCCATTATCACGTCAACGTTATTTCATAAGCATTTAAATCTTGACCACGAACGGTCGCGACTTCTAATCTCGGCTATCGTCACTTTTAAACGATCCAAAACTTCTTCACGCACTGCATGTATGTGACAAAGTCATTGCAATCGAATCTATCTATATAACGAACTAAAATATGTTTGGACATCGTGACCAGTCACCTCTGCTTTTATGATCCCAATATTCGCCATTATAAACATAACAACGGCTGTCCGTGTACGGATCCTGCTTCTTTTTAAACCATAGTGGTTCGTATGTCTCATAAGATAATCCTGCGGAGAAACATGAAAATCTATGAGTAAAAGAGCTTAATTTTCATAATTTAACGATATAAACATACCTTGTACAGCAGCCTTTTCGGAGTCATGCTCGCGAGCTCGTCTAGCAGTTCTTTGTTTTTCCTCTAAACGCAATTTTTCTGCATTGGCTTCGTCCCATCGCCCATCCTCCATTAACCGCTGATCAGGCCTCAATCGAGAATCTGTTGGAGATGTACCTTCTTCTGGTTCGTTCAATTGACACGCTAGTTCCGTGAATGAATAATATTTCTCAGAGTCTTCGCTGCAATATTATATTTAAGTATTGAAATATATTTCAGATATATTTTTAAGATATTGTAAGTAAAAAGGAGGATACAACTTTTATTATTTCGCGACCGTGCGGAGATCATTTTATTTATTAATTTAATCGAAAATTATTAATTAATTATATTAAGAGCGTTATACTCAAGAAAAAATTTATACATTGCAATAAAGAATAAAATCCTCATTCACATCGTTGAAATCGTCAATTATAATTGAATACTAATTCACAGTTGTTGATTCAAGAATTAATTTTTAAATGATCGAAGCATAATTGACAGCGATTTCGTAACGATGTCAATAAAGATTTAATTAACTTTATTTCGTAAACGTAACAATCTTTCCTTCAGTGTAACGTCACTGTCATAATCATTTTCGGTTTTCCCGAAGAAAAATACATAAGAAAGTGTAGCAATAAAACGATTCCTGAAAAATTAACGGTCGCGAAAAAAGTTGTGCCCTTCTCTCTAATAAAAAATCTTTTCGGTCGATTTTTGTTTCGAGATAACGATACTTTTCAGCAATCGAAATTAATTCTATTGGAAAAGTCGTTGATATACATATATGTTGATATATAAAATTTGCACACAACTTTAAGAAATGAAATAAGTAAACTGGTTTTAATTTTTACATGCATATTATATACTTACCTAGGTATACGTCGTTTCCAAGCTAATATATAAGGACCTGTTTTATAAACTGGATTATCCGGTGTGCCAGACGTGCTGATTACCGGTGCTATTTCAATCTTTGAATCCCATGTACCCTGCACTACCCACTTGACTTCCTTGTTGGAATTCATGACTACGCCCTTCACCTTGCGCTGACTGTCTCGCGAGAAGTACGAGTACGGTATGTACTTCAAAT